TTTGAGAACGGGCCATTCCAGCCACCCCTAAATGCCTATAAATAGGAGGCTTAGGCGTTAGTTCAAATCATACTATTCACTTCTGACTTCTTCTTCTTCTAAACCTTCTAAAGACCAAGGGGAATCTAGAGGAGGAGATTAGCAAGGTTCTGCTCTAGTTTCAGCTCCTGCTTATCGAGGTAAGGGGGGAGTGAGAAACCTCACTCGGGGATGTGGGAATAATTGTTGGGTAGTCGGATTGGTCCCCAATCCCTTGCTTGATGTATGTTTCTAGGAACATGAATGTTTTCGGTTTTACTTTCTAATTACTCTGCTGTGTTCCTTGTTGGAGATGATGAATGAATATGTGGTTATTTTGAATTTTAATATGAGCTAAAATGCTTTGTGGATTCCTGTACGAACCCTATGAGAAATAATTATGACATGACTATGTGAAATATGAACAAATGACATGAGACATGAGAATGGGCTATTGAGATAAACTATGACTATGAGAATATGAAAGAAATTCTGTAATAAGTGAAATGTTGACTCAATGAAATAGTGAATGTATGACATGCATCATATGCATATATAACTCCAGGTGTGCCGCTTATGCCGCATACCAGTGATGAAATGATGTGATGAAATGACTTATTCCAGGTATTCCACTTAAGCCACATACCAATGATGTAACAAGCTAACAAGGTGTACCTTAGGGTCACCAGAGATATAACAAGCTAACAAGGTGTGCCTTAGGGTCACCAGTGATGTAACAAACTATGTGATGAAATGATTTATTCCAGGTGTGCCGCTTAGGCCGCATACCAGTGATGTACTGAGATATTTTAGGTGTACCTTTGGTCACTAGTGATGTATTCATGAATGAACGTCCCCAGGTATGCTGCTGTTTAGCATACCAATGATGAGAAATGTGAACTTTCGTATGGCGCCACATGCATGCATTTATGAGTCGAGTCCATGGCATTATTGCATGATAATTGAATGTATATGTATTCTAAATATATTTATAACTTGAGAGTTATGATTAGTTATGTGTAATTTGTGTGGTATTTGTTATGACTGTGTATGTTGCTTAACATTTATTTCTACATCTGAATTTGAGTGAGATGTTTCTCACTCCCTTGTTGTTTTTGTACATGTTTAAATTAATTTGCAGGTGATCATCATCATGAGGATGTTGGTGATGAGGCTTAAGGTTTCAGTTGCGCATGCTTTGATAGGATATGTGACATCTGGGCATAGCTAGGCTTAGTTTAGGATGTTATTGTTTTAAAAACTTTAGTTTCTCTTATTTTGTAATTTCTAGCGAAGGTATAACGTAAATAAAGTCTATAGTTGCAGTGGTTGAATCCAAAGAAAGTGTATGTGGAGAATTGTAATATTGAATGTTCTTGATGAAAGGACAAAGTATGCATCTTTGTTATATTTTTATTACATGATTTGGAAGTTATAAATTAAATCCTAACTAGGAGGCACTGCCAACTTTTCTAGAATTAATCTATATTTCCTTTACTATTTTTTTTATAATTTCTTGAGTTTTGATACTTATATGTTGACTTTTTATGGTTTATGAGTTACGAATGTGAACCTTCTATCTTATGATATTTGAGACATTTGTTTTATCCTTAAAAGATGTTATCAACTATGAAAGATTTTATTTACTCAAAATAAAAAAAAATTATTGTTCACATTTATTGTGTAGTAATGTTGGGGTAGAGGGCGTCACAATATTCATGAACCAATTTGTTTTATCCCTGAAAGATGTTATGAACTATGAAATATTTTATTTACTCAAAAAGAAAAAATTATTGTTTACATTTATTGTGTATTAATGTTAGGGTAGAGGGTGTCACATTTAGTGGTATCAGAGCAGGTCGATCCAATCGGCTGTGAGTTATGAGTTTACTATGTTTGTTTGGTAGATGAATGATGGACTGAATTGATTATGGAACTTATTGGTATGCTAGTGTGATGATTGATTATGTCTATTAATTGTACTATTTTCTTAGATTATGGCTGGTAGAAATGATCGTGCGATTGCTGGTGCTCTTCAAGCATTAGCACAAGCTATGAATTATAAAAATAGGGTTGGAGTCGCTCCTAACTGGTTGGAGCAATTTCAGCGAAATCACCTACCTACCTTTAAAGGAGGATATGACCCAGACGTTGCTATGAATTGACTAACAGAGATCGAGAAGATCTTCGATGTCATGGATTGTCCCCTCGCTCAGAAGGTGAATTTGGCCACCTTTATGTTGACTGTTGATGCCCACTTTTGGTGGGAATGAGCACTTTTAAGAATGATTGATGAAGGGGTGCACTTGAATTGGGACAACTTCAAGAGAGTCTTTGTTGAGAAGTATTTCCTAGATGATGTGAGGAGTCGGAAAGAAATGGAATTCCTTGAGCTGAATCAAGGAAATGACACAATGGCAGAGTATGCTGCCAAATTTAATGCTTTAGTTCATTATTGTACACACTACCATGGTGAGGGTGATTAAAGAGCTAAATGCATAAAATTTGTAAATGGTCTGCGTCCAGAGGTAAAGATTGCAATTAACTATCAAGAGTTATATCACTTCCCCACTCTGGTCAATAAGTGCAGCATTTATGATCGTGACAACCGTGCTCGTGCTGACGTGTGTGGAAGATGCGAGAAGTGTGGACGTGCTGGTCATAATCACATCAACACCCAATGTCCTGAACCACCAAGAACACGTGTTATTGGATCTGGTTCGCAAATTAAGCGTCCAAAGACTGTAGGGAGAGTATTTGCTCTTAGTGGTGCTGAAGCTGCTTGGTCAGAAAATCTGATACAAGGTACTTGTTTCATATCTGAGACTCTTTTTGTTGTACTGTTTGATTCTGGTTCAACTCATTCCTTTATTTCTGTCTCTTGTGTCCAAAAATTGAATTTGCTTGTGATTGAATCCAAAGAAAGTGTATGTGGAGAATTATAATTTTGAATGTTCTTGATGAAAGGCCAAAGTGTGCATCTTTGTTATATTTTTATTACATGATTTGGAAGTTATAAATTAATTCTTAACTAGGAGGCACTGCAACCTTTACTGGAATTAATCTATATTTCCTTTACTATCTTTTTTTATAATTTCTTGAGTTTTGATACTTATATGTTGACTTTTTATGGTTTATGAGTTACGAATGTGAACCTTCTATCTTATGATATTTGAGACATTTGTTTTATCCATAAAAGATGTTATCAACTATGAAAGATTTTATTTACTCAAAAAGAAAAAAAAATTATTGTTTACATTTATTATGTAGTAATGTTGGGTAGAGGGTGTCATAGTATTCATGAACCAATTAATAAATAACATATATAAATATTTTGATTTTCTATTATTGTATACTATAATAATTATTTTATTGGATAATTAAATTGAATTTAAAATTTAGTGAACCAAATGATATATTAACACTTTACCAATTTAATTCAAAAATTAAATTTCTTTATAAAAGCATTAAGAAAACATTTGTGTGAAAAATAATGGCTTTTGTGTTTTGGTTTCAATGATAAATTGTACTAACAATTAAATCATGTGACATATAGCATCTCTATTATTACTTGGAGGAAGAACAACACACTCGAAGTTCAAGATTCATATTCTCACATAGATAATTATTTGTGACATTCAGTTAGAGAATGAACTTACTTATTTATTGAAATTAACAAAGTTGATATCATGAGATGCAACTCTAATGGAAGATAAATTTTATTTTGAAGCACTTGATAAAACTTTAATGGACATCATGAAAGTAGATCATGATAATACTTCAATCTTTAAAGGAAAGATCATTGTCTTTTATGGAAATTTGAGACTTATCAAGCATACTAAGATAATTCACTTTATGCAACAATTTAATGCATCTTATATTTGGGATCATTGTCAGGTATTAACTCTTACAAAATAAAAAGCGTTTACAAAGTATTGGAAAAAATTCAAGTCTCACATCAACTAGAGATAAGACAATTAAAAAATAGCTTAAATATATTTTTAGTCCCTCAAATTTAGGGTAATTATATTTTTGGTCCTTCAAATTTAAAATTGTTGTTTTTAGTCCCTATAATTTCAAAAAATCTTATTTTAGTCCTTATATTCAAATTTTGTTAAGAAATTTATGAAATATTATTGCATAAAATCTACCTATTGGTGTCCCTATTAGTGAAAATATCACATTACATCCGGTTGATATTGCATAACTGTCTTAATTAGTCACTTTCAAATACGTTATTGGTAACCTAAAGGACTAAAAAAAGACTTTTGAAAATTACAGGGACTAAAAACAGTTTTAAATTTGAGGGACTAAAAACATATTTAAGCCTTAAAAAATATATATGTGGAGAACAATCCTCATCTTCTAAACTGGTTTTGTAGGGTTAAGTTAGGTTCAAATCTACTATTCTAAGATGATATCAGAGTTATCCTAGATCATTAAAAAGGGTCACCCATCATTTATCCACGTACCGAACTCAATGATGTTGGACGTGAGGGAGTGTATTGAAAAAAATCCAAGTCTCACATTAACTAGAGATAAGATAATTAAAGAGTATATAAATCGAGAGCAATCCTTTCCTTATTATAAGTCAGTTTTGTAGGGTTGAGTTAGGCTCATCCTCACCTTACAAGCTGAGCATCTTAGATAACCACTACAAGAAATGTTACATACAGTGACAAAGAAAAAGTGTTACTATAGATACATTATATGTATGTATAAATCAATTTGGCATATACTTATACACAATTTTAATTTTAAATGAGTTTCAACTAGGGGTGGGCAAAATTAATTAAACTGAACTAAAACTATTAAATAACTGATTTATTTTAAACTAAAAAACTAAAACTAATTAAAATAAAACTGAATTAAACTGTTTTTTAATTCAGTTTTAAAAAATTGTACTTATTTAAATTACAGTTTAGTTAACTGTAAATAACTATTAATTAAAAAATAAAAGAAGGCACCGCACGGTTGGCTCTTTACAGTTTACGCTAGGAATCCCTAACTCACACCAGCGGCAGCCACGACCCACCAAAGGTAAATGTGAAAAATCTTCCTTCACAGGCACAGCCACGGATTTCGGCACCGCCTTATGCGTTGGGATTTTATCGTTTTGAACATTTGCAGGAAAGACAACGTTCGTGAAAAGGCATTTCACCGGCGAATTCGAGAAGAAATACGAACGTAAATGTAAAACATCTTCCTTCACAGCCACGGCCCACCGCAAGGTACGAATTTAATTCCTTGCAAATTAATTCATTTTTTCCTGGGTATCTCACCGGTGAATTCGAGAAGGAATTTTATGGACTTCAACTTTTCAAATTAATTCATGCAACAGTTGAGAAGGTGAAACCAATTTGAAGATTAGGAAAGCATTGGAGAAGTATTTTCCTGGGTATCCCTTTTTCCCTAAAATTTTATCTAGGTATCCCTTTTTCCCTAAAATATTTGTTTGTCTGCTACATTGAGGTTATATCCTTCAAAATTTCAGTGTATTAACTGTTAAAAACCACATTCATGTTCTGTTTTGTTCAATGATCAGATAGTTTTTCGGATCTGTTTTGTGTCTCTGATGGTAATATCCAATGGTGTTAATTGTTAAAAACAATTGTCTATTAAATAATGAATTGTTCTTGAGTTTTCACCCTCGTATGCATTATATTAAGTAGGACCTTACGATCCGCGATACAATCTCACATATTTGTTTCACTCACTCTTCCTATTATAATCTCAATGTTGACTACCATATAATCTCATTATATGGTAGTATTTTGTTGCCTGCTGTACAAAGCCTAAAAGCCTTAAGGTGTTGTATACATTATTGATAAAATTACCGCAAAGGAAACTATATAAAAGCCCAGGAAGGAATAATATCTATACAAATCCATCCTAAAATGATTAATTTTGTATACAAGCTGTCTTGATCCTAGCCTATATAAACTATATTTTTCTTGCATCCTTGTTTTTTGTTCAGATATTTTGTTTACTCATTTTGTTGATGAGAAACCTATATTTGATTGGAATGGTTATCATATTTTGTTTACTCATTGGAATGTACATGGTACTCATATGCGAAGCAATTTAATTTTTGTAAGCAGATTTCTATCTCATACTTCAGCCATATGCTATAATTATGATTATATGTTTCACCTCTTAATTTAAATTATGATTATATGCTATAATTATGATTATGATTATAATTTAAATTTGTTGATACTCACCATTATATCCCCAGGGCTTGAAGTCATACATTGCGTGTATGTGTATGTTCTATGTGTTAGATGGAGAAATTTAATTGCCCCAATAGAACTATTTGATCTTCATTTTGAACTTATTCTTTTCGGAAGCATTCAAATCATGGACGTCAAATGTTTAGTTGATTTTTTTAAGACATCATCCAGCATACTAATATTATCATACCAAGTGAATGATGTGCTGGTGCTCGCTTAAATATTCTTTATTCAGTAACTCAATTTCATGAACCAAAATTGTTATTACAGGCTAAATATTTGGCAGTGTTGATTATTGTACCTTGGGCAATGGACTTTCTGGTTCATGACTATATACTTATGCCATTTTTAGACAGGTATTTATTTATTAATAATCAACTTATGTTTTTCTTGTGAATTCGTGAAATGCTTTTCTATTGGCAGAGTTTTATTCTGTTTTGCTATATTGCTTCAAGATTTGTGCACAAACAGATATGCCTGTAAGTGTGTGCTTCTATCTGCATGCTGTTTTGTAGAAGTGTGATGTGTTTGGAGGACAGGGCGAATGGCAAGTGGATATAGGCTTGGGATGGCTTGCCCATTGTATAGAACTCTAGTGGGCAACGCCAATGTTTTTAGTACATGGAATGAGGCAGAGTATTGAAGTGGTGAGATCAATCTGAGATGTAATAGGTTGCCCATGGCCATGCTAAGGAAACTCAACGTGCACAGGACTATCGTGTGTCACTGAATCAGCTTATATCATGATATATTAAACTGTCCAGAACCAGTTTAGGCACAGTTTAGGCACAGTTTAGGCACAGTTCATGAATAGTTCAGTTCAAAAATAGTGCAGTTCAAAAACAGATTAAGGTGTAGAGCAGTTCAGTTTAGTTTATATTATAGTTCAGTATAGTTCAGTACAGTACAGTTTAATAAAATAAAAAACAGTTTAGTTCAGTTCGTCTGAACTAATATTTAGTTTAGTTCAGTTCATGAGAACTATTTTTAAGTTTAGTATAGTTTTTATAAGTTCAGTTCAGTTCATTTTGCCCACCCCTAGTTTCAACAACATATATATGTTTAAACAACTTATACCTATACTTTTTTTTTAACAATTATAAGAAATATTTACTAGTACATACCAACATATATTGTAGGTAAAACTAACTTTTAGTGACAAATATTGTATTATTATAGAGTGTGTGTCACTACAAAACAATTTTTTTCATAGTGAACTAAGTGCTTTAAAACTCGATCAATTTTCACAATCAATAATAGATATTGGAAATGGAAAAGTATGTGAACTAAATGATGATTATGTTTCCTTTGATATTTCACAAGAGTTTTTAATAACATTCTTTGATGATTTCACAACTACCATTGTTTATAGCGTATAACCTAACTTAATTCAACTAAACAAAATAAGTTTATTTTTTGCAATCTAAAGATATTTTGGCATCCACCATTAGGACCATTAATTAAATCAATCATTTTGTTCTGGCTTTGATTTTAGGAATTTTATTGAATATATTAATAGAATGCAAACTTAATATTAATACTAGATATATTTTGAGTTTTTTTTTTATTGTGATGAAAGGAAATATCAAAGTTCATATTCAATTTTCAAGTCAAAAACATAGATAATCAAATTAATATTTGAAGCCCTTTTAAGTAAATTCTTAACACTTTGAGAACATCTAATCTTCTTAATTATAAAATAAAACTAAAAGCATGGCTCAATAATTTTTTTAAATAATCTAGGTCAATTTGAAGGGTTATGGGAATAATTCAAGGTTGGTAGTCACAAAACAAGACATGTATATTTACATAACATAGATAGATTAACAACAATATCACATCCCACTCATCCAAGACATAAAAATCACTTTAACATATAACATTAAAAATGCACATGTAATGGACACGGACTACATATTATCATGCATGTGACCCCAGTAACACATCACATGGTATTGTCGCTAGCAACACACATAGAGTAGTCTAGGAGTATATGCAGGGTCACACCTTGTAACATCCTGAATTTTCTACTAATATAATGGTTGATTATTATTATTTTTTTATATTTATGGAGATTATTTTCTTATAATTATTTGAATTAATTAAATGGGTTTTATAGAATATTTTAGAGGGTTTTATAGAATATTTTAGAGGATTTTAATAATTATGAGTATTTTAATAATAAATATTTATGAAAATTATTTTGTATAATATTTTAATTTTTAGTAGCCTAGAACGGGCCGTATCAAACTACTAAAATGGCCTATAACCCTAGTTGGAAACGAGCTGTTCTGGATTAAGAATGGGTCGTTCCAAACATGGCCGTTGTGAGTTAATCTCAACCCCAGAACGGGCTATTCTAGTTTGAGAATGGGCCGTTCCAAATGCAAATTTTTACACATGACGAATGAGTCCAAAACGGGTTGTTCCATATTCGAAACGGGCCGTTCTGGCCACTCTTGAAGTCTATAAATAGCACACTCTGGCATGACCAAAAGCACATTTTTTCACTTCTAACTTCCTTTTCTTCTACACTCTCTGAAGACCAAGGGGAACCCAGAGGAGGAGACAAGCAAGATCCTGTTTTAGCTTCGTCTTCTGCTTATCCAAGTAAGGGGAGAGTGAGAAACCTCGCTTGGGGGTGTGAGAATAATTGTTGGGCAGTAGGATTGACCCCAATCCCTTGCTTGATGCATGCTTCTAGGAACAAGCAAAATATGAATGTTTTCTGTTTTGCCTTTTGATTGTTTTGTTGTGTTCCTTGTTGGATGTGATGTATGAATATGTGATTAATTTTGAAAGTAAACAAGTTTTGATATGAATTAGAGTGCTCTATGGGTTCCTGAGAGAATCCTATGAGAAACAGGCAAAATATGAATATTTTCTATTTTTCTTTCTGAATGTTCTATTGCGTTCCTTGTGTGATGTAGAGTGTAAATATGTATTTGATTCCAAAAGTAGATAAGTTTTGATATGAATTAGAGTGCTCTGTGGGTTCCTGTGCGAAACCCTATGAGGAACAATTATGAGTATGACAATGTAAAATATGAACAAATGACATGAGACATGATGTGAATGAGAAAATGCTAATGTGAACACTATGACTATGAGAATGTGAAACGTGATGAAATGAGATAAGCTATGACTATGAGAATGTGAAATGTGATGAAATGAGATAAGACATGAAATTCCATGCAAGTGAAATGTTGAGTCAACGAAATAGTGAATGTGTGACATGCATCATGTGCATATATGATCTATTCCAGGTGTGCCGCTTAGGTCGCATACCAATGAAGTAACAAGCTAACAAGGTGTACCTTGGGTCACCAATGATGTAACAAGCTAACTGAAGTTAGAGGAAAAATACATAGAAGGGGGGTTGACTATGTGTGTGTGAAGGTTTAAGGAAATCTTTTCACATAAAAGGCTTTTTCATGTTTCATACTGACGTTTTCAAATTCAAGATGCATCTCTTGTTTAATTTTAATATAACATTTAAAAGGGTTTTGCGTCTGCAAGTTTTATCGTCTGCACGAGAGTGTTTCTTGCAGTAATAAGTTAAACAAGAGATGTTTTCCGTCTAAAGGTTGTTGTAGTGTGAAATAAGCGGTGAGTAAGATTTTCAATATGAAATACCAAATAAATAAATTTGCGTCTGAGAAGAGTAAAATAGTGCAAAGAGTTTTATACTGGTTCGCTCAGACTGAGCTACGTCTAGTCTCCTTCAATTGAAGGGTTCCACTAGATTTTCAATTAAGTACAAGTATTATCACCACAGTATTGTCGACCACTTCTGGCCCGCCAACTTCACTCGTCAGCGCTAGTATTCTTTGTTCAACCTCTTCAGACTCTCAGTGAATATTCTCAACCACTCCTTGTTCCCGAGTATTATCAACCACTCCTAGTTCGCCAACTTCACTCATTGGCGCTAGTATTCTTTGTTCATCCTCTTCAGGCTCTTAGTGATGATTATCGACCACTCTTGGATTGCTAACTTCA